ATATGTATCCTGTCACTCCCTCTGTTATCCTCATATGTACCCTGTCCTCTCTCCCCCATTATCCTCATATATGATCCTTCATTAGCCTGATCCTCCTTCTCTGTTTAACTGTTTGACACAAGTAGAATACACAGAGATCTTCATGTATACATTACAATTCCATTGCAGTTCTTCCAAACACTAGCAGGGTTATTCACAGAAGGGTGAAGAGTTAGGAGAAGGCCGGAGAAGGGAACAATCTAGGACAACATAGCTGGACTGGAAAGTGAGCTGAATTGGAGATTTTTTCCAAATCAGCTATGTTGTCCTAGAGTGTTCACTTCTCCTGCCTTCTCCTAACTCTTCACACTTCTGTGAATAACCCTGTATATGTAACAGGCCAAGCTGTCCAGCGTAATTGACAGTTGCAGGAGCTGGGACAAACCATATAACACCGGTGGAGGTGCTGACTTCAGATTTCATTGATAGTAAGTGAGAAGTGATGTAGTATGATAGAGAGGAGACTTAGGACGAAAGAAGAGGCGTAGGACGAGAGAAGAGATACGAGAGAGGAGACGTAGGATGAGAGAAGAGGCGTAGGACGAGAGAAGAGATACGAGAGAGGAGACGTAGGACGAGAGAAGAGATAAGAGAGAGGAGACGTAGTACGAGAGAGGAGACGTAGTACGAAAGAAGAGACGTAGTACGAGAGAGGAGACGTAGTACGAAAGAAGAGATGTAGGACGAGAGAAGAGAAGTATGACGAGAGAAGAGATGTAGGATGAGAGAGAAGACGTAGGACGAGAGAAGAGACGTAGGACGAGAGAAGAGATGTAGGACGAGAGAAGAGACGTAGGACGAGAGAAGAGACGTAGGACGAGAGAAGAGACGTAGGACGAGAGAAGAGACGTAGGACGAGAGAAGTGATACGAGAGAAGAGACGTAGGACGAGGGAAGAGATGTAGTATGAGAGAAGAGATACGAGAGAAGAGATGTAGGAAGAGAGAAGAGACGTAGTACGAGAGAAGAGACGTAATACGAGAGAAGAGACGTAGTACGAGAGAAGAGACGTAGTACGAGAAAAGAGACGTAGTACGAGAGAGGAGACGTAGTACGAGAGAGGAGACGTAGTACGAGAGAGGAGACGTAGTACGAGAGAGGAGACGTAGTACGAGAGAGGAGACGTAGTACGAGAGAGGAGACGTAGTACGAGAGAGGAGACGTAGTACGAGAGAGGAGACGTAGTACGAGAGAGGAGACGTAGTACGAGAGAGGAGACGTAGTACGAGAGAGGAGACGTAGTACGAGAGAGGAGACGTAGTACGAGAGAAGAGACGTAGTACGAGAGAAGAGACGTAGTAGGAGAGAAGAGACGTAGTAGGAGAGAAGAGACGTAGTACGAGAAAAGAGACGTAGTACGAGAGAGGAGACGTAGTACGAGAGAAGAGACGTAGTACGAGAGAAGAGACGTAGTACGAGAAAAGAGACGTAGTACGAGGGAGGAGACGTAGTACGAGAGAGGAGACATAGTACGAGAGGAGACATAGTACGAGAGGAGACTTAGTATGAGAGAGGAGACTTAGTATGAGAGAGGAGACTTAGTATGAGAGAGGAGACTTAGTATGAAAGAAGAGACGTAGTACGAGGGAAGAGACGTAGTACGAGGGAAGAGACATAGTACGAGGGAAGAGACGTAGTACGAGGGAGGAGACGTAGTACGAGGGAGGAGACGTAGTACGAGGGAGGAGACGTAGTACGAGGGAGGAGACGTAGTACGAGGGAGGAGACGTAGTACGAGGGAGGAGACGTAGTACGAGGGAGGAGACATACGAGAGGAGACTTAGTATGAGAGAGGAGACTTAGTATGAGAGAGGAGACTTAGTATGAGAGAGGAGACTTAGTATGAAAGAAGAGACGTAGTACGAGGGAAGAGACGTAGTACGAGGGAAGAGACATAGTACGAGGGAAGAGACGTAGTACGAGGGAGGAGACGTAGTACGAGGGAGGAGACGTAGTACGAGGGAGGAGACGTAGTACGAGGGAGGAGACGTAGTACGAGGGAGGAGACTTAGTATGAGAGAATAGACGTGCCTGAAGGCCAATAAAGTTTTGGGGGGACATTATAAGTCACCTCCTGACTTCTTCGAGGTTTGGATCTATGTGGTGACACTCCTCCTGTTACATTGTTTATAAAATTAGAGAAACTCCTGTTAAACAGCAGGAGTTGGTCGCGTTCATGGTGGTCATCGCACCCAAAGATCTCACCTCTGCATTTCACCTCAGAGAGACGTAAGAAAATGTTATGTGGTTGTTTGGTGGTTTTTGGTGCTGAGCACCTGGGGTGGGGGCAAGTCTTCAGGTTTCCTTAGGGGTGCCTCAAACTTTTTGCACAAAGGCACTTGGATTGATCACTCTGATATGAAAGGGGGACTGAGGACTCTGATGTGAAGGGGGGGGACTGAGGACTTTGAGGGGAGGGGGGGCTGAGGCCTCTAGGAGGGAGTGAGGACTTTGATGTGAAGGGAGGACTGAGTACTCTGATGTGAAGGGAGGACTGATGACTCTGATGTGAATGGGGACTGAGGACTCTGATGTGAATGGGGACTGAGGACTCTGATGTGAAGGGGGACTGAGGACTTTGATGCGTAGGGGGGACTGAGCACTCTGATGTGAAGGACGGACTGAGGACTCTGATGTGAAGGAAGGACATAGGACTCTGATGTGAAGGGAGGGCTGAGGATTCTTGTGAGAAGGGTTGGACTGAGGACTCTAATGTGAAGGGGGATGAACTTTGATGAGAGGGGGGAGGGGCTCTGATGTGAACACGGCACATTATGTGACAGTGGGAGTCTGTTATGTGAACTGGGGACTCTGATGTGACAGGGGCTCCTGGTGTGAAAGAGGTGGACTCTGCTTTGAAAGGGAAGAGGGCTCCTGGTGTGGAAAGGAGGGTGGATGTGAAGCTGGCTTCTGGGATCTCTAAAGTAAAGGGGGCTTCTGATGCGTGTTTTTACATAGCCCCCCCCCTTAAAATCCATACCAGTCCCCTATCTCAGATAAATGTCTGTTATGGAGTTTGAAAAAGCCACAGGTCCTTTTTTTTTTTTTTTTTAACATGTGCTTTTTAAAATTTTTAGATTGGGGTTTCTTCAAGATTCTGTATACTATTTAAGGGTGTTGGGGCTGAAAAAAAGGTTGAGAAACGTTAATGTAACTATCCAAAGACATTTCTAGCTGGCATGACCCATTAAATGTAAATATAAGTCAGCATGCACATCTAAGAGCCCTTGATAAATTTGGGGAAACAGACACATTTATTAATAAATCATTTCCTAAAAGAAGAAAAGAATTGAATAGATGAGAGCAGCGTCTATTGTCAGGGGACTCCTCTCATTATGGTCCAGCTGCTGTTTTCCAGTTATTTTTAGCAGAATATATAGTTCAGAGAGGCAGCAGGAACACACAATGATTATTGGGACAACTCGGATTCTGCCTCGCTTTACTTGCCTATATCAGCAGAAACTTTGCATTTTATATTTATGCCATGTGAATGAGAACACGTAACAAATATAAAGCAGACGTTATACCAATTAGGCTGCAAAAGTGTAAATGCATTTTAGGAAGATGGTTTCGGAGTATTCAGCCTTTGTGTTTGTATGTATGTATGTATATATATATGTATATATATATATATATAAGCACACACAGGATACGGTATGCTGCCGTCTGATACACACATTCTGCTGACTCAGCATGACTCGCCTGCTCAGCACTCCTTCCCCTCCCAGCTTATTTTTAAAGTTAGGTTCCCCCTGGGGGGATTGTTATTGGTGTGTGTCCTCATTATAGGGAGCTGGTCAGGACCCAGGTTGTCTGGACAGCACTAGGTGAGCGCAGCAAGGGTATTGTATTGGTGAACCGCGTCTGCCGAGGTCATTCTCACTCATTGACTGCTCTCTTTCTCTGTAGTTTGCTGACACACGGTTCCCAGGGCATGACGACTCTCATCAGCAAGGGAAACAGCAAAGCTCTGAAGGTAAGAGGGGCCTCGGCCAGTAAAGCCGGTCGTACACAAGTAGGGTTTTGAAATTTCCGCGTTCAGAGCGTTCTTTCTGTTCAGCTAATGGTAAGCAGGATATAATAAACGTTCGTTTTTGACCGTAGGAAATGGAAGGAGCGGGATGGACATTTTTTCCCGTCTCTGATCTGAGCAAAATTCTAACTGTAAGTGTTTTTTCCGTTCGGGGGAAAAAACGTAACGCGCATATGCTGGGAAGTCAACCTGTATAATACGTCTGGAATTCCATTCAAGAAGAAGGTCTGGGATGGCGAGACATCGAATGCTCTGATGAGCGGTTTCGAACAAACGCTCCATTGCAATTCTGACGGCTTTAGAGGAAAGTATCATTCTTGTCACTCGCACTGTCTTGGACCAAGTCCTGGTAAAATGGAGGCTTGCATTTAAAGGGTATGATTCATAAATTATTTGCCACGACATATGCTGGTCGAATGCGGTTTGCATGGCATTCTCACCACTAGATGGAGGTGAGGAGCAGAGGAAATTCCTATGCTTCTTGGCGAGAATACCATGCGAATGGTGTTCGGCCAGCGTATGTCGAGGCGGATGATTTATAAATCATCCCCAGACCCAAGAGCAGGGTGTAACATAGTGCAGCTTACCAGTTGTAACACTTCCTGTGATAATTAAAGGCCTATTTACACTTGTGCGGTGCTATAACCGCTTCAGGACCGCCCACCGTCAAAAAAGGTCCTGGTCTTTAAGCGGTTATATATTTTAAACAGCCGGCAATGGCTGTTTAGATACAAGCGATTCGGCGGCAATACAGCCACCGGATCGCTTGTATGGTGCGGCCGAATGTGTATTCCCCACCACCGCCGTTGGCTACCCTGGACTCCACTGTCCCCTTTGCGGGCCGGGGACCGGCACGGCGAGTCTCCCCTCACCAATCGGAGGGAGATCAGCGAGCTTCTAGCCGCTGATCTCTCCTCCGATCACTAGACCCGGACGTAGGGACGCACCAATACCGATACTAGTATCGGTATCGCTGCCAATGCTGAGTATTTGGGCGAGTACTCAAACTTGCCCAAATGCTCCGATGCCTAGCCCAATACTTGAGCTTCTGGTACTAGGAAGCCGGGCAGCGAGTCATTACACGCTGGCCGCCTTCCTGATTGGCCGGTAAGCCGTCTTCATGCTGATGAGGGAGCATGGAGCCGGCCAATCAGGAAGCTGGGCACCGTGTAATGAAGCGTTGCCCGGTTTCCTGATTGGCCAGCTTCTCGGCCAATCAGGAAGGCGGCAACGCATCAGAAGATGATTTGTTGCAGTGGAGTTTATTTACTGTATTTCTCTTCTTTTAGAGGGTAGCTTTTTCCAACATAGTTACTCTAACACCATGGGCACATTTCGCAAAGCTTTAACACAAGGATAAGTATCTTTATTTTGGTCACATGACCACAATTTTCAAAGCTTATTGGTATCCGCAGAAACTGTCACTTTAAAAAAAAAAAAAGCTTTGTGACTTGACCCTCATTTGTGTTATAATCCAAGTTCTTTCTTTGGGGCTCTTGCACATGGCCGCCTGTGGCTGTACAATGTAAATTCCAGTGTGTTTCTGCCATCAGGAAACCCCAAGTGCTATGTACAGCTTCCCATAGAAGTCAAAGGCTGTACGTTGGTATACGTTGAATGTAAGCATGCGCACGGGTGCACAACCCCAAATGCAGATAGTCTGCATTCAGAAGTCCAGGTTATACCCATGTACAGTCATTGACTTCAATGGGAGGCTCTATGCAGCACCTGTGGCTCCCTTGTGGTGGAAATACACCATTGTACAGCCACAGGTGCAATACAGGCGCAGTACAAGAGCCCTAAGCTTTCATTCATACTAGAAAAGGCCGGCACGTACAGCTCCGTGCTGCGTGCACGGCTGTATCGGGCAGCTCCCGGGAAGGACGGGTGCTGCGTGTGATTAGTACGCAGCCCCTTTCCTTCTCTATGGCAGTACGCAGCCATACGCCGCCCTATGCTCACCCCAAGTGCGGGTGCGGGTGTCCTGGCTGGGACGCAGACAGAATCCATCCTGCCAGCGTACGAGTACGGACACCCGCACGGACGGGTGAGCATATGGCGGTGTATAGCAGCGTACTCCCATAGAGAAGGACAGGGGCTGCGTACTAATCACACGCAGCACCTGTCCTTCCCGGGAGCTGCCTGATACGGCCGTGCACACAGCGGAGCTGTACGTGGTGGCCTTTTCTAGTGTGAATGAGGGCTTATTCTGTCATTAACGCAATTATTGACAGTGAAAGTCGTGCATATAGTGTCTAGCTGTGGTAGCCCTTATGGAATTTGCCTGTTTAGTTTGACTCCATCTGCTCTTCACGCAGGTGAAAAGAGAGCCTGGAGAAAATGGCACGAGTCTCACCGATGATGAACTGGTCACCATGTCTGTGCGGGAGCTGAACCAACATCTGCGCGGCCTGTCCAAAGAGGAAATCATCCAGCTGAAGCAGCGGCGGCGCACGCTGAAGAACAGAGGCTATGCCGCCAGCTGCCGAGTGAAACGCGTCACCCAGAAGGAGGAACTGGAGAAGCAGAAGGCGGAGCTGCAGCAGGAGGTGGAGAAGCTGGCCTCGGAGAACGCCAGCATGCGCATAGAACTGGACTCCCTTCGCTCAAAGTACGAAGCTCTGCAGAACTTTGCCAGGACTGTCGCACGCAGCCCCATAACTCCTACGAGAGGACCAATAACGCCTGTAGTCAGGCCCTTCATCCCCGGAAAAGTGGCCGCCACAAGCGTCATTACCATAGTCAAATCCAAGGCAGAGGCGCGATCTTAGGGGTGTGAGGAACCTGGATCCCCTGCTCCTTCTCCTTCACCGTTTCTTCCCACAGGACATGTTCCCAAAGATTACCATAACCAGAGAAGGAACATTGGCGAGTGATGTTCAGGTGGCTCCATCACATCAGCAGTAGGAGAAGTGAATTGGTTTGGGTTCTTTGGCAGGGAACATAGGTTGTCTACATCTGTGCGTCTGCAGATAGGGGCAGGTGACACCTGGTGGCAAGGTCTGGCCATGACACATTTGACCTACCTTCTAAGCACTCTGACCCTCAGCCATCACGAAGACAAGAGGAGAGGCTGCAAAGCCATCAACATCTTCCACCTTTGGTTCCCCTGTTGGAACAGTCACTGGTCCTCATGTACAAAAGTGTCTGGGGAAAAAAGTGTCCACTCTGTTAAAAACTTTTGTGTTTCAGTCTCCCAGAGAATGAAAGGTGATTGGTTGTTCTGGAGAAAAAAAAAGCTCTAGTGGAGCAAAAAGTGGACCTGTCATCTTCCCCGAAACGGGGCAGCTAGCTGCTGTGGGTTTTCGCTTTAGTTTCCCTGCACATACCCTTGTGGGGTTGACTGATGCAACTGAAGCTAAAGAGGACCCGTAGCAGCTAGGTGTCACCTGTCAGAGGAACCAGGGAGTCTGCTTTTGCTTCAGATTTAAAACAAACCATTCAGCCATTGGAAAGTGTTTAGAGTTGGATGAGAGTGTGCTGCTCTTGGCAACCAATCACATTCCAGCTATCATTGTTAAGGACCATCTGATTGGATGCCATGGGCCAGAGTTCAAGCATCAGCAAGTTTTGAGAGCTTGACGAGAGTGTGCTGCTATTGGCAACCAATCACATTCCAGTTATCATTGTTAAGGAGCAGCTGATTGGATGCAATGGACCAGTGTTCAGTATTCAGCAAGTGATAAGAGCTGGAGGCGAATGTGCTGCTCTTGGCAACCAATCACATTTCACCTCTCATTGTAAAGGAGAACCTGATTGCATGCTATGGCCAGAGTTAAACTCTCAGCAAGTTTTGAGAGCTTGATGAGAGTGTGGTGCTCTTGGCAACCAATCACATTCCAGCTATCATTGTTAAGGACCATCTGATTGGATGCCATGGACCAGTGTTCAGCATTCAGCAAGTGATAGGAGCTGGAGGTGAATGTGCTGCTCTCGGCAACCTATCACATTTCACCTGTCATTGAAAAGGGGAAATTGATTGGATACCATGGGCCAGTGTTCAACCTTCAGCAAGTGATGACAGCTGGAAGAGAGTGTGCTGCTCTTGGCAACCAATCACATTCCAGCTATCATTGTTAAGGAGCAGCTGATTGGATGCCATGGACCAGTGTTCAGTATTCAGCAAGTGATAACAGCTGGAGTCGAATGTGCTGCTCTTGGCAACCAATCACATTTTACCTCTCATTGTAAAGGAGAACCTGTTTGGATGCCATGGGCCAGTGTTCAACCTTCAGCAAGTGATGAGAACTGGAGGAGAGTGTTCTGCTCTTGGCATCCAATCACATTTCACCAAGGAGAACCTTACTATTTGCCATGGGCCACAACTGGTTTCATGGTGAGGCATTGGGCTTAAAAGCCTTCGCCATAATCACTTAGGTTCTACAACCTCTACATTTCCTACCAATAGCATTTCCTGAAATTCTTCCATTAAATATAAAATACCCCCCCCCACAAACACACACACACACCTTTAGTCTATTATAAATACAGCTGCCAGAACCATACACTTTAACACACACACACACACACACACACACACACACACACCCACACACACACACACTCTGGTCAGAACATGTCGTCGGCTCTGCCTTGGGGGGCGACCAATACCTTTGTCTCAATCCGGTTGGTAGACATTTTTGTTTTCCTAGACACTTTTGAACGTGACGGCGTTATTTGTGCTCAGTTTCCCGTGTGCTGTCCAGCTGTCAGGGTCCCTATCAGTGTACAGTGTGACGTAAGATTGTAGCGCTCGTTGTGGGTCGGTTGTGTGTAGTTGAACCGTGACGTATGCAGTGTTGTGGCCCAGTCTACGACGTGACGTCTGGTGGTTCTGCTTGTCTGTGGAATTGTGACTGACGACTTCCGGAGTGTCTGTGTGCAGGTTTCCCTCTTTAGTCTTCACACGTGCGTGCCGTGTACTTTTGTGGTCTCAGACTATGCTGCTCTTTTTATCGGGTCGTTGTGTAATTTCGTGCCGTGAGATTATACAGCTTCTGGACCGGTATGTCGTTCGCGTGATGTCCGTACTTGTTCCCATTGTGGTCCGTGTGCAGTTTTGACGTGGGTTCCTCTTGCTGTGGGTGGTATTGTTTCTCTGTTATTGACGTGGTGGAGGCATTTGGACGTCGGTGGTGTCTCTGTGTCAACAATAGATTGCGAGATCTGTCGATCGTAGAAGGCTTTTTTTTTTATTGCTCACAACGTTCTGGTACATGAAGCTATCTACACTCAGCCGTTTATGAAGCTTGCATGGTCCGCCAGCATTCAGGGGGCACCAGGAATTCAATAGTGAACATAATGCTGCAAATGAGGTTAGCGGGAGGAGAAGCCAATTAACTAAAGCTGTACTCCGGGATCAGCAAATATTGTCTTCAAACAAGAGTCATGTGTGTTCTTCTTGGTGAGCTTTGTGTATTTCTTCCAGATGCGTGCAGTAATCCAGCGTGAGACTGGGGGCTTCCTGTAGTAAAGACCAGTCACTGGCCTTCTCCGTTTTTGTACAGGGAGACTGGTCTTGTCCCCGCCCCTCCTCTAGCTTTCTGCAGGCAGCCTGTAGTGGGTGGAGCTTGCTGAGCCCCTCCCACAGCTCTCCTCTCTACATGCCATGTGCAGCACAGTGATGATGTCACTGCCACAATCACATTGCAGAGGCATTTAGTGCACACAAAGTGCATTTATAGCCTTTGTGGCTATTAAGTCATATATTTCAATTAAAGTCTGTGTGCCCGGAGTTTTTTGTGTAAAGTATATCTAAAGCCAGTAGATAGAGTGGTGAGTGCTGGAACCTATGTCAGGTCATAACTGCTATATGTGTCCTCACCAGGAACTACAAATCCCATGATTGCAAGGTTCTCACAGCCACAAGCATGCCGCCTAAAGACAGATGCATCATGGGATATCTAGATGTAATATTTTGACTTGCATAGACAGGAAATCTTGCAAAATGGACATTTGTTCCAATGACTACTATCTGCAAGGGGATTTATCTTGCTTTGGAGAGATTACCTCCACTTGTTGGGTCTACAAGACAGGAAGTGAAGGGAATTTCTTGCCTGGGACACACATGGGCAAAAATAGATGGGAATTTTCACCATTCCCTACTCTGTCTAAAACGAAAAAAGTGGCTTTAGATATACTTTAAGCACTACTCAATTCCTCTGTGCTTCATACTGCAGCATGGGCACTAGATGGCACAAAGGAGCATAGGAAATAAGTATTATGGGCATTAGATGGAGCTGAGGAGCATTGGGAAAAGGTATTATGGGCATTAGATGGAGCTGAGGAGCATAGGAAATAAGTATTATGGGCATTAGATGGAGCTGAAGAGCATAGGAAATGGGTATTATGGCCACTAGATGGAGCTGAGGAGCATTGGGAATAAGTGTTATGGGCACTAGATGGAGCTGAGGAGCATAGGAAATAAGTATTATAGGCATTAGATGGAGCTGAGGAGCATAGGAAATAAGTATTATGGTCACTAGATGGAGCTGAGGAGCATAGGAAATAGGTATTATGGGCATTAGATGGAGCTGAGGAGCATAGTAAATAAGTATATTCACTTCACTAGATGGAGCTGAGCAGCATAGGAAATTAGTATTATGGGCACTAGATGGAACTGAGGAGTATAGGAAACAAGTATCATGGCCCTAGATGGAGCTGAGGAGTATAGGAAACAAGTATCATGGCCACTAGATGGAGCTGAGGAGTATAGGAAACAAGTATCATGGCCACTAGATGGAGCTGAGGAGCATAAAAAATAAGTATTGTGGTCACTAGATGGCGTTTTGGAGCATAGAATATAAGTATTTATTTCCTGTGCTCCTCAGCTCCACCTAGTGGCCATACTGCAGTATTGCATCACAATACACTGGACCTGAAAACATATACCGTATTGAGAATTTTCGTTTTTGGCATCATTCACCCAAAACGACTGTTCAAACATATTCTGAGGGCCCCAAGAATTGTTTATAATAGATTCCTAAGAATTGGAGCCACATCACTGATCTGTGCATATAATGTTAACATTTCTTGTTAAAGAGAACCTTTCATTTTCATGAGAGGTCTGCTTTAACTCTGCTATGGCAGCCTGCATGTATAAAGGAGGCGGGGCTTATAATGCTCAAAACACACCAAAACCTTCATTAGAAGCAGGCCGTCGCCTTCCACTCCCGTGTTCCTCTTCTGCAGCATAATGTCTTCTACAGGATAATAGACTGATATTACTTGTATTGTGTGTAGTTCACACGGATGCAGCATATCGTATGTGCACTGAACCTTCCATTCTCTTCCAGCTATCTCTGACTTATCAGAATGGTGAACCGTTCCCTGTTTACTAGCAGATTTGACTTTGTTGACCATTGTCTGTCTGGTTTTCTGATTGGCTGGCTAGGGTAACACCGAGACAGCCAATTACAAGATGGGAGAATTAATTTTACTTGCACCGTGGACACAGTTGGATAAAGGGGCTACTTACATTAAAAGCCCTCCCGGCTGGAAGTCGAGGGAATGTGCAGCTCAGTGGACGATCTCTTTAACTTGTCGAGTTTTGTGACTTTCTTTTGTATTTGCTGCTGCTCTGATATTCACCTTTTGTATTGTATTTAAAGATTGAATTGTTCATTTCGGTGTGACAGTTGTTGTGTGGCAGACCATCGAGTCTGTGTCAGTTACCTCTGGGCTCCAAAGGAAATGTTACAGCAGGGGTGGGCCAACTCCGGCCCTCTAGCTGTTGTGGAACTACAAATCCCATGAGGCATTGCAAGGTTCTCAAAGCCACAAGCATGACTCCTAAAGACAGATGCATCATGGGATTTGTAGCTTCACCACAGCTGGAGGGCCGGAGTTTGCACGC